CTACACGTTACAAACTTTGCCTGCCTCCCGGACCATCTTTGCATGCATCTTTTTGGAAATTTCAAAGGCCTCCCTCCAATTTTTGCATTTTAGCTTTGTAACACTACTTTTCCAGGTAGTTTAAGATATAACGCTACCTCTCTTGTTTTAATTTCTTTTTAACACTCTTTTAAACTATTTACTAACGTAAAAATCTGCCTATTCTATCTTTTCAGTGAGTGGGTTCATGATCATGAAAGGAAGATTAATAATCATAAGAGAATCAACTTACTATGAAATAGAACCTAAGATAAGAGAGCAAAACTTGTCATCTGTCAATTCAAAGGTTACTCAGAAGAGAATCATAAACCCTTCAGTCAAATTTGATGTGTATCATAAATGAAAACAAACGGCAACCATTAGTCATTTGCAATCCATGACGAGAAAGATGAGATAGCAGATTTACAAAGGAAAAAATAACTTGAGATATTAATATCCAAGCTCAAGGGAACCTAATTTATTTTCGCCACTACACATCATATAGAGGAGTCATTTTCATCCTTATTTGCTTCACACATTGCAGACATTAGAGAAGCTGTTTGGAAAGAAGAGAAACTAATTGAAGAGGAATTAGATTTTTATTATTAAAGAAGATATTCATAAATTCATTAATTAGAAAAGATGATTTTTTTAACATTAATGATAAATAGGTTAAATGAGTTGTTTTAGAGAAAAACACAGGAGGTAGATGCAGTATCCTAAACCACAAGGAAGGTTAATATTGTTCTTATAAGCCACAAGGGAGGTAAGTGTTTCAAAGCAAAACTTGAGGGGGGGGGGGGGGGGGTCTATGAAATTATCCCCTCGGTAAGGTCTTTACATGAACCTACTTTCGTACAAAATTCACTTTAGACAACCCAGTCAACAATATCCCTTGTCAATCCCCTGTTTTGACAGTTTGAAAAATACCCAATCTCCTGCTAATTCGTTGTATTGATACATACATCTGATTTCCTGTTTCAAATAAAACATCTGGATTTTGATAGGTTCCTTTTAGTTAGGTTAGATATTTGTAATTGAAAGATAACCATGAGATTTGGAGAACATCTAGTTTTAGAGGATCCCTAATTTTATTGTAGTGAAAAGAAATGGGCCTAAATAAAGAAAAATGGAAATAGAGGATACATATAACAAACTTCAACTAGTTGGCATTGAAACAGTATAATTGTTATTGTAGTTCCAAGTTTGGGATTTTTCTCTCTTTCCGATCATATTGTGATATTCATATACTTGAAGATGGAAAACATATACAACACACAGGCAATTCAGTAAACCTGTATCCAAACTGAACTAACATTATAAAGACTGGATATGCCTCTACCTCGAGTAAGAAAAAAAAGTGTCATATCACATTGAGCTGATATAGACAGCATATCAGCTCTCCCAGTTTTGAGTATGACCCCTGCGTATTTCTTTCACCCTGAGCAACACTGATTCTCATCTAGTATAATTCTAGCATGCACCACTTCTATTCAAGAAAGGAATTCCATCAACACATTTTTTTTACGATAAAGTCCTTCAGCACATTAACCAAATTACATTACACTAAATAATATGAAGTTTTCTGTTCTTCAATTCTTAATCTAATCCCAGTTCCATGTGTGATGGCTTTAAGATGTAATAGAATTGACATGAAGCTATAACAATAAAGTATTTCTTATCCTTTCCTCATAGCTAAAAGGGTTGCTGAAAAAGTATAAATTAAACTCATCACTGCATCATATACCCAGTTCTCCCCAAGACAAAAAGGAAAGTAAAATAAAGAAAAAATAAATAAATAACTTATCACTGCATATTTCTGCAACTTGTATTAAACATGCTGCATGATCACTCGAAATCTACACATTATACGAAAGTCAGAGTTCTTGTATCATCTCAAGACTGGTCTTGCTGTTTTTACGGAAGGAAAATAACTTACCACCACATTTACCTATCAAATAATAGCTAATCACCATACGTTCCTGCTACTTGTCTTACACAGCACACATGGTCCGCATATTCAACATCAGAGTTCGTATCTTACTAACGGTATGAAATATCCAACTACATCAAATTATGACGTAGACATATGTCTTTCCTCCTAATGATCATTCTAGCAACAGAACTGTTTCATCAGTCTGATCTCTAAACTACCCGACATTATGTGAAGTGCTACATAAACTTCACATCATAAGACAAATTTCAGCAACATATTCAATTAAGACAAAAGAAAAACTAAAACGTAGCTTGAACCTTCAAAACAACCACACGCTACCCTAAAGTTAACAACTTTCCGAACAACAATTACTACTACTACCAATGTCGCTCAAACTCTTCAAAATGTTCACGGGTGCACGACAAATCCTTCAAAAGTAGTGCATTTTTAGAGGGTGCGACACCCTTTTTGGAGAGTCCGAGCAACATAGACTACTGCAACAGTACACCTGAATCCCAAACTAACTGGGCTCGACTACATGAGTCACTGAGCTCACCGGGTACTCAATAATTCTCCTTGTAGGACAGATGCGTCACAAATCCAGTTAAAGCTAAGCTTCAAAATTCAGATATAAATTCTAATTCTATGTTAACAATTAGAAATACCTGAGTGAGCCACCAGGGCAATTAATAAAGAGCCTAATATCTTTAGTGGAATCCAGAGCATCCAACAACAACAACTGACTAATAATAGCATCAGCGAAGAAGTCATCAATGCTACTACCCAAGAAAATTATCCTCTCCCTAAGCAACAGCCCCATTGCGTCTCCTTCAGCACCACGCATAGCCATCCCCGGGGACTGAGGAGCAGAGGCAAGTAGCAAGGACAATTTATCATCCGCAACTAGATGAGAATCAGAAAGGGGTTTTGAAGTGGATTGGTGAGAAGTGAGTGAAGATTTGAGGGATAAGGGTGTTTTGCGAGATGGGTATGGTGAAAAAGTGGGCGAAAGCTTAGGAAGAGAGGCATGGCGGAGATTGAAAGAGGGACAGTGAGGAGATAGAGAAGTAGAAAGAGTTAGGGACTCCATTGGTAGAGAGGAGAATTTGTGTGTAAGCCGCAAGGGATGAGGAAAGGGAATTTGCTTTTTATTCACTGAGAAGAGCAAATAAAAGGGACTCTGTGTACTAATTTCGGGTCGGATAAGGGTATCATCCTTTTTCTTTCAGTCCTTTTTTTTTTTTTCATCTGTCGTGAAGTCTACAGTAGAGCTTCGATTAAATTTAGAATGCACATTGTACGGCTCATTTAGAAATGACTTTTAACATGATTTTCTACATATCCGAGATTAAATACGAGATCTATAGTTAAGAATGAAACAATCTCATCATTGCACTATTATCTATAATCCTTGTGCACATAACACAATAAACAATAAAAGAAAACAATACATTGCAAGAGTAACAATACTCCACTATCTTAACCTTCTACAAGAAGTTGTGTCATGTCTTGTATAAACACATCACTTTAATATATTTTTTTGGTCTATTTCTATCTCTCATTGTACTTATATCTATTATTCTCAACCTTTCACATCATTTACACTTTTTCTTTTCACATATCTAAACCATTTTAGTCTAGTTTCGTTCATTTTGACCATCATGATAGGTCATTTTCACCTTGTCTTGGATATTCTCATTTTTGACTGACCAACACTATTATAAGTTTGTATAAAAAAGTCTTTTCTAACCGCATTGTATCACAATACTAACTTCAAACCCATAGGACTAATTTTTTTGACAGCTAAATCCTTTGAGTCTGAATTTATTTTTGAAACAATTAAACTTATTAAACTTCTGAATTTCAACTATCATTACTACAATTAGGGGTGTACAAAATCGAGTCAAATCAAAAAAAAATCGACTAGTGATTTGATTTGACTTGGTTTGGCGATTATATTTGGGCTGAGTTGGTTTCAACTAAAAAAAATTCAAAATCAAATCAATCTAACATTATATATATAATTTTAAAATTTTATTTTATACGTAAAAATACTTACTTTGATATAATTTTTAAAAAATATCTTATACATTTTCATTGTTTTTATCTTTTAATATAGTTATTTCATGTTTGAAATTTAGAATTCTTAATGATCTAGTAAAGAATATAGTCCATACATGTTGGTAATTATAATAAAGTTTAAATGAAAATCAAATTAATATTAATGCAAAAAGAAAATCAATTCAACACTAAGAATGACAATAATATTGATTTTTTTTTAATTTTACATAAATTTAGATAATTAAAATACATGGTCTAATTTTACTTTCTTTTAATATTTATTCATGTAACTAATACTTACTAAACTTATTTTAGCATAATTGAGTACTTTATGTTATAATCAATTTCATATGACTTATTAATTTCCATATTTGTTTTACGCGATTTTGTTATTATCTTTTTGTTGGATATTTTAGTGTTATTAATTATATCATATTTTTTGTTATTTTCATGAGAAATAACTTAGATAGTTGCATTTTGGTAGGACTAAAGAAATATTTGAAGAACAAGTAAATTATACGTTTACATGAATACTTTATCGAAACGCGAAAATCCAAAAAAAACCGAAGTTGAAAACTTAAGTTTTATTGATTTGGTATATAAATTTAAAAACTCGACACAAATAATTTAATTTGATATTTGAAAAACCCGAACCAACCCGATCATGTACATCCTTAACTACAATAAATAGTTGTTCATCTGTACACTTGGGCCTGCAAATTATTTCCCCAATCTAACATATCAGCCCAAATCCAATTACCCAACAATTTGGCCCATTTAGAAACAAATATCTATTTAAATCTTCTTTCTTCATTCACATTCATCATTCTAGGGTTTTCCATTCCCAAATCAATTTTTTTTCTTCTCTGCCGAATTACATCAATGGCATCCGTAGTTTTTTCTTACAGCATTTCTATGGCTTCCTTATCTTCTCAGTGTTTTCATAGTTTTTTTTCTGCAGCTTTAAGCATGAGAGTAACTGTATCTGCACACGCATAAAGGCTATGCTTAAATTTATTGAAATAGTGGAGTCTTGAGCGCTAGTGCAAAGATGGAATGCTGAGTTTAAACTCAGCGGCGGCCAGACAACCGTTGAGATGAATCCACAGATGGGTTCCATTTACAGTGGTACTTGTCTACTAATTTCATCTCATAATTTTGTGATTCTTTTTCCTGTTTTGTTGGTGATGGTTCAATTTTTGAAATGGGGCGAGTTTGTTTTACTATGCTTGTATAACCCATGTGTGTAAAATCATCACTAAAACAAACCCTCTTTGTTGATTTTATAATCCGAAGAGGGTGTTTCTCATATCCTATTGCCTTGTTGAGCAGAGTCTCTGCAATTATATGTTGGGATTGGCCATGAGAAATATATTCCAATTGTTTACTAATCTGTTTTGCTTTTTCGTTTTATTCTTTGTGTGTGTTAATGGCTGGTGATGAAATCTCTTATAAAAGAACACCATCTTTCGGGACTGAATGGCCCCATAGGCCTTGCTGTTTATTCTGCAATTCTGAAGCCATTTTCCTATTTGCTTAAATATTTTCTTTGTATAGCTGTAGATTGGTTGATGAAAAAACACATGAAATTGGTTAAATCTTTAGTCTAGGACTAATCTTGGAGTAGATTATTCGCTTCGTTTCTGAACTAATCACAGCCTTAAAACACAACTTGAAGAAAAAAAATCAACCAATTAGATGCTTAATCTCTGGGATTTTCAGAAGTTTTTGTGCTTATGGACGGTCAAGTGCTGTTTAGATAATTTGACAACAGTACTTAACATTAAACATAAGCTACATTTACAGCCACCATGCCTTTCAAGTCTTCTCTTGCTTTTTGACAAGTGAAGATTATCCTGTTGTGGCTGATATTCTATTAAAGAACTAATCTTTTTATCAGTATTGGATTTTGTTTTATTTGATTTTCATTTCATGTGATGATTTTCATTGAATTGGGACAAGTTCTTTTGTGTTGCTTGTATAACCCAAGTTTAAAAAATCATCATAGAGCAAAGTCCCTTTTGTTGAGTTTGCAGTTGATTTTCTTCTGAGAATCCTGCTTAATCCGAAAGGGGCGATCTCATATCCTATCGCCTTGGGAGAGCGGAGTCTTCGCTATTACCATTTGGGTTTGGCCATGAGATAGACATTTGTGTTTTGTTACAATATGAATCAATAGCTAAATTCTGTATTTTTTGGTTTAATCTCGTCATGGTTCCTCTTGATCATCTTTGATGTACCAAAATATTATAATGACGGGTATGTGTTCTGTATTTTTGTGAGATCAAATGATTTCTTAATAGATTTTTATGGTAAGTGTTTCAATTTGTTTTTTATCTTTTTAAGATTTGGATCTATATTTGGTGTTTTGGGGTAAATTTCTGTGTATTTGTTTTTGTATCAATATATTTTTAAGTGTATCAATCCATTATTGTATTTCTAGTATCAATGTTATCAAATTTGTTTATCTGTTAGATTTACTTTTGTATCAGTGTATTCAACTTATACAGTTATATATATCAAGATATTCAAATTTATCAGTTCAACTATATCATTTCTTTTTTTTACATTTTTATTCATATGATTTTTCTATTGAAATGCAAGTACCAAATATACTTCCAACATTAAAACCCTTAAATGGTTGGACATTGCATCAAAATTTATGAACAAAAATGAAAACGTTAACTTAATGCTAAAGGTATATAAAAAGATTGACAATTTTTGAAACGTCATGGTATTTATTTAAAAAAAAAAAGAAGAAAAAGGCATAGATTTTCCCTGAATTAGTCCTGTGGTGTGGTGTACCAGCTGCTATCTCAGTGCCATGTCAGAAGTAAAAAAATAATCTATTTTTTATTTTTAATCAACTTTTTTTTGTTAATTATATTTTACATTAATTAATCTCTAGTTAATTGTTAAAATTTTCTAATAAATATATTTTTTTACAGCAAAATTACAATAAGATGAAAATTTTAACAATGGCCGCTAATAACAATAATTGAAATATGAAGTTAAGTTATGGAGTGAAAAATTCTCTCGTTCTCTCCAAAAAAAAAAAACCAGTCATATTTGCACTGACTAAGAAATTCCTAAAAAGTTTTATCTTGACGATGATATGAAGAGATATTTTGTAAACAAATACAAATCAAAAACTGATAATAAGTAATTTGCTAAGTAAGCTAAAAAGAAGTCGAAGAAAGAAGAAGAAGAGATTTATTTTTAAAAGAAAGGGGAGAAAAATGTGTTTTTTCAAGAGGGTTGGGTTGAAGAAGAAGAAGAAAAGGATGGATTGTGAAAAAGAAGAGATGCAAGAAAGTGGAGTGGGGTAAATTTGAATTTTGATTTTTTCCCCTACTTTAATAAATTTGATGCGCCTATACAAATTTTTTAAAAATTATTTTGCCACATTAATTTAGGGGTTATTAAATTTACTTTTGAATAATAATAAAGTGTAATAGATTATCATTATAGTTTAACCGTATAAATGACTTTTTGATATAAATTCACGGGAGAATTTATGTCTTTTCCAAAAAATAATAATCATTATTTATGATTGGCATAATACATATATTGGACCTAAACTTGGCTTCAAATTATAACTTTGACCTTCAACTTTCATAATGCACAAAAAGACACTTTAACTATCCAACTTTTAAATAAATAAACACATGAGTCTTATATGACAAAATACATGTAGGACAAAAAATGACATGTAGGATGACATATAGGACATGTGTGTCTATTTTTTCAACTTTATACAAGTTTAAGTGTCTACTTGTTCATATCCAAAGTTGAAGAACATAAATGTGGTTTGAAGTCAAGTTAAACGGCATAGGCTTAAGTCATATACCGCCCCTCAAAGTTATTCGCATAATTCATTTAGACACCTTAATTGAGACTTGTACCTATTGAACACCTAAATTGTTCAAAACACGTATCTATTAGACACAAAATGCTGATATGGCAAAAAATGTGTATTGCACTTCCCTGAAGCGCGTGAAAAGACTTAAAATAGTGTCTTTTTTATTTATTTTTTTACATTTTTTTTAATTAACACTTGGCATTATAATTAACTAATAAATATTTTCTTCTTTATTTACACTTTTTTCAAAAAAGAAAACACCACACTCCCTATTGATCATCTTCTTCATAATTTAGTTTACAAAACTTTCTTCATTTTAGCTATAACACTTTTTTTTCTTTTTTTATATACAAAAATTTTATATCTTCCAAATATGAAGATAAATGAAAATCAACTTTAAAGATTCAGATTTGAAAGAAAGTCTTCGTATGATTTGTTTCAAATCTTATAAAAACAAGAAACAAGTATGAAGAAGATGAAAAAAGATAAATTATTTTTACGTATAAAAATAGTTAGCCGATATTTATTTATCACAATTTTTGAACAAAGATTTTTACTCAAATTCATATGTTGTCATTAAATTTATCAAAAATGATATAAAATTTTTTGAAATAAATAATTTTGGAGCTATCAATTTCATTTTGTCATCGATGTAGAGTTGAATAACCGCCAACAAAAGTTTCTTTCTTCTTCACTCTTAGTATGAAAAAAAAATTAATCTTGAAATTATTTGAAAAGAATAAGATTTTGTAATTTGAGAAAGAATGTGTTTTGGGGATAAAGATGAAGATGAAAGGGGGTAGGAGTGGGGTGGGGTAAGGTGGGATAGAATAGGTTGACATTTTCATTTTTCTTTTTCTAATTTAAAAAATTAGATATTAAATGTGTTTTTTTATAATTTTTGGTCCCAATGCCAAATGTTGTTTTTTAATTAGTCATGTTGTCACGTCACCGCAAGTGTATCACACACTCTTTATATTTTTTGTTGATTATCAAAAAATGTCTAATAGAAACGATTATTATATATGTAAAAGTATTCAATTGGTACTAGTATTAGTTGAAGTGTCTAAGTGAATTATGCGGACAACTTTAAGGGGGCGCTAATGACTTAAGCCAAAGACATATTTATGTATTATGTCTTTATAATTACATACATGCATACATCGGTAGAAGATAAATGAATAAAATTAGATTAAAGAAAATTGGCAATCTTTGAATATAAATGATTCACAATGAATACAACAAACGATAAACGATTACTAATTTTTTTTTTAAAAAAGGTTATACTTGATTTTGAGTTCTCTAAAATAATGATGAAAACAGGCACATAATAAAAAATATAACAATTTAAAATAGGGATACTTTTACCATATGAGAAAAGATCTCTTCCATTTTTTACTCAATTTAGTGAAGATGTACTTGTATCTTTATAGGAAATCACCTAAAATACAATGAATGCAACATAGCAAATTAAAATACTAAGTGTGAATTATAAATATGAAAACTAAAGGTAAAAATCTTAATTTAGTTAAGATGTATGTGTATCTTTATAAGAATTTGCTCAAAAATACAATGAATATAGCATGTACTAAATTAAAAAATATAGATACTAATTCTAATTAAATATGAAAATTATAGCTAAAAAATCTTAATTTAGGCTTAATATTAGTTGTTTTTGAAAAATTCTCTTCATATCAATTAATAATTTAATATAAATATGGAAAGTAATTTTTTGTCGTAATTAACTAAATAGAGAGTTCGTATCAATTAATAATATATATATATATATTAAGATAGTGCCACGTAGGCCGAAAAAAATAGAAAATTACTAATAAAATAAGTTCAGCAGATAATAAGACCATAGTAAAGTATAAGTGTATCTTTGAAATTTCGGTCATAGGTTGAGGGTAGTTGTGCATTATTCCTATATTTTAACCGAACTAAGATTTTATTACCTCCTGAATTCTTTTTCTTTCTAATTTTATATACGTTTTTGGCCTACGTGACGGCCATCTCTTAAGCGCTTTCAACTACGTGAAGTCACGAAGTGTTCCATGTAAATCAAAAGATATACAATAAAAAAAAAGTTCAAAAAAATATAACCTTTATTTAATTAAGACGTGGTTTCTGAAAGTTCGATCATAGACTAAACTGTAGAGGGAACTTGGGCCTTACTTATAACAAGTTTTCAAATTTGTTCAAAATAATAGTAATAACTGCTACTCTTTACCATAATTTGAGTTCAACACAATAACGAAATGAGTTCATTAGTGATAACAAACTTTTTATCCTAATC